ACTCTGCCAGCGGCCAAGACTCGCAACAGGTATATGATACCTAGGTGCCAAATAGGTCAAGCCCCACAAATACCTCTAAGCAATGATACCCATTTCAGTTTCACTTCACTCTGGCAATCTTTGCCGGATTTCCTCCCTCCAGATGTTGGAGACGAAGGTGTATTGCATTTGAATATGTTATCGGGAGTACAACGAAGGGTAATAATCAAGACCATTAGCTCGGGCTTGAGGTAAATCTTAGTGAGGCAAGAAAGCTAGACCCAGGGATTTCTCCACAACTTAACTCTATCCAAATTTGGTAGCGGACTCTGTACTGGAACTATTGCTGGCGGGGAAGGATCGTAGATGCAGGGACCATCAATTCTCTATTATAATCCAAGTACTGTATCGAGCTACACCTTCCGTTGCATCCAGGATAATTAAATATATTCATGGTTATGCAATGTTGTCCCAACAGCGAGTGATTTCACATGATTAATCCCTCCCTAAGAATCCGGAGGGGGCCCGTTTTCAGTAGCTAGAATAAAAATGGTACACAGATGCACGTATAAAATATTCAAACCCTTTAATGCCGCTAGTGCTAGTCCGTGGGACTGCGAGGCTAGGTATCTTGCCAATTCCCAACACTCAGCGTACGAGTACTGTACCAAATGGAGTCAGGGAGTAGTTTCGACAGACTGCGGTAGGTAATTTGTTGTATTATGGTTGCACAGCCATTAAGCCATTTTTCTCTGCCCAGGTGCATCTTATTAAGAGATCGGGGCTTGACTGTCGACCACTATTGGCCCCGCACACGCCCCCCCCCCTCCTATCTCTGGTTCATGGGTCCGCCTGGCTACCTCGACAGTTCGGTGGGGAACACAACTCCGCCCGGCTCAACCGATGCCTGGGCCATCCCACGGAACGCAAGACCCGCTGTGAGACTTAAGGAGGGCTGGGTGAATGGCATGTGCCGAGGATTGGTGTGTTCCCGGGGGTTAATAGTAGAAGGACTTTCAGTTCTAGAAGCGTGGCTAGAAATGCCCGACAGTTGGTCGCGAAAGGAATCAAGCAGAGAATCCTTACTCATATCTTTCCCCAGAATACAGTTCTCTCACGTGTCTGCCTCAATTTTGTCCCTCTCTTGATAGCGGCCCCATGCCCTCTTTGCCATGCCATCACCAGAATTCTCCATAATCCCTACGGCACGCATCGCCCGAGGATGCGGATATACCAGAGAAGCGCACAGAGACCGGGCTGGCAAAATGCGGGAAATGACCAGGAGGGTATTTCTCCAGACCCCGAGCGGGGAGAAGAACAAAGTTGGCGGGGCACCGAGAATTCGCGGCGACGAGGCGCCTTAGCGCCCACTTTGCAGAAGCACGGTTCAAAGCAAAAAGGAAGGGTGCACCCCCGATTGTGAATACCTGCTCTTCGGCGGACTAGCATTAGAAGAAAAAGGAAAGCTGCACCTCCTTTGTAATGGGCTGTGATTCACCCACGCTCACTCGGGACACCCTTGATCAAAGGACTCGGACGGTGGCCCCAAGTTTGAACCCCCCACCCCCTAAAACATTTGGAGTAAGTGTGTCGAAAAATTGTTACTTTAATGTGATGGAAAGTACCGGGATGTCCGGATACCTACTACCCAATCTGGGGTATTATGATTTGGGTGACAACGCGAGTCATCTTGACGTATATAGATCAGATGGCAGCTAAAAGAAGGATGGACTTGGATACATGTACTATGGCAGACAACATTGTGAAGTAATTTAAGGTTCGACGGTGGTTGACCTTTAATATGCTCACTTCGGTGGGTAGCAACGGATGTCTGGGAACGATGGAGTAGCGCTTGAGTTTCTGTCTGTGTGGAATGAAAATAAAGCGTAACAAAGAACGAATGAACTGATCCACGTATCTGATAGTGAAGAACAGAAATTTCCGATGATAGAAAATAACTAAAGGAAAGCATAGGACCTGTATGGAGATGGTCGGGATAAAACGAAACCACAAGAAACAGGAGAGAAGCTAACTAATAATATATAAAATCCACCAACGTCTCATGTCCTCAACTAGCAGCCAACTCTGGCATATCCAATACACATCCGTAGCAGCCATGTCCCACCATCAATATCTAACGCATTATACTTCTAGTGCATGTATCGGGATTGTCTGAACTAATGCACTGGGAATGAGGCCACAAATGTGCGCCGTACACCTTGTACATTCAACATAACGTCTCTCACAACAAATTGATATCTCAACCCCCAAGCCTTTTCATATCTTGAGGAGGGTTCCCTCCCCCCCATACGGACTCTTTCTGCGTGACTTACAACAAAGTGGCGAAGCCGTTGAGTGTTGTTATGAGATGCTGATCGGGAAGACTAGAAAGCAGGAATGGAAGAAATGGGGATAGGGAGTTGGTAGTTTTAGATACAAGTGCTTTGTATCTTTGTTGCTTATCCTTTTTATCTACGGCACCCACATAGGCACATCAAGTACCCTCCAGACTCAGAGTTCCGGCCCCTATTGTGAACAGAAAATACAAACACTCTTGCGCTCCTCCGGGAATCCCTTCGGTGAGTTCCAGACAACTCCGGAGTTCCGGTACCTATACATATACCCAAGACCTGAATGTCTGCTCCCTTACTGCAAACGATTCCTAATATTGAATAGGGACAACAATACATGGTGTCCATCAAGGGTATATCCACCTCCCTTGCTTGATGAACAATCCACGACTAATAGAGAAGAGTGGACTGACAAAGGTGCGACAAATAGAAAATAATTAAGAAACATATTTATCCACTAACCAAGATCCCCGGACACGGAATGATCGCCGGTGACTTTCAACATTGAGAACAAAATGCGAGTCCGCGAGGTTAGTCAGAATGACGGGAGACTAGAAAAGAGGAGCGAAATTGTACCGGAATCATTTGCTGCGCGATGCCTAGGGGAGTGATGTGGCAAAAGTAGGAATTGTGCACTCACCAAGAGCTCCACACACCCAAGAAGCAGAAGGAGAGACTAAGACAGGTATGGAAATAAAGTAGATTAACGTGGGGAACATGGGAGCGATTGAGGGAAAGATGTTCGAGCCATAAAATAGCGATCGAACCCCTAGACCTTAGATATCTCAAGCTACTAAATCCAAGAACTTTCACACCTATATAGACATTTAGTTCTATAATTCCTCAATCACCTCTTTACCTTGATTGCTTCCCTATCCCCGGCGCACTCGCATAAAAAACACAGGAAACCATCGCACCTATGGATAAAAGTTCATAAAGCTCCCACCTAATGAGCGGTTAAACCCCAAACAGTTACTAAACTTCCCCCAACGTTTTCAAACTCCACTAAACAACCCCACCTATTTCAGGGTCCCCCAGAAGCACCACCTTATCCCACCCCTACAAAGGTACACATAAGCACCACTACCCATCTGTGAATCCCTATCATACACTCTGCCGCTTCCACAACCTTTTAGGATACCACCAGAGTCTCTTCAGCCACGAAAACGCACAGTAGCCAGGTGATAACAGGCGAATTCCGATATTAGCACCGTGCTCCGCTTCTACCCGACTGGCGCTCACGGAAAGGGATTGTTGATCTCGCAATAACTTAAGCCCCGAAGATATTCCAAGCTAGTTAGGTGCTCATTACCGAGGGCGATAGAGAATCCTTTGTAGGCTCGCTCGCAGGCCTCTTCAGCTTAAGAATACCGCTTCCGTTTTTCATGGAGGCAAGCCAGACGCACAGGAATTTCAGACATTAGGGTACTCCGGACTAAGTGCACTTTCGCGAGTTATCAGGGCACATCGAAGCAGTCTCTGCCTCTGCATACTTTCCCTGAGTATCAAGGGCGGGAGCTAGGCCGTCAATAGCCGACAGTACACTAGGGTAGCCTGTACCCAAGGCTTGCTCTCTCGCCTCTAGCACCCGCCAGGGAAGTATCTCCGACTCGATAAGCTTTCCCTACTTTAGCAACAACGTAGACAGATTGTTGATAGTTATCAAAGTATTAGGGTGGTCCGATCCAAAACATTTCTCATACCCCTCCAATGTGCGGCGATTCATCACCTCCGGTTCTTCGTACCCCCCTGCAGCTGCAGCACCACAGCCAGGCTGTTTACAGCCATCAAAGTCGTAGGGTGCTCCGGCCCAAAACACTTCTCCCACCCCTCCAATGCGCGGCGATTCATCACCTCCGATTCTTCGTACCTCCCTTGGTCCCGTAGCACCGCAGCTAGGTTACCGACAGCCGTCAAAGTATC